CATCTGAGCTTTTGCAGCCAGAGACTGAGGAGGAGAAAACTCTCAGAGCGTTGCGGGGAATGCTGCCATGCAGTCACAAGGAGGTGACGACTTCGAAGGTGGGCCGCCTCGCCAATCGGGCACGTATGTCGAGACCGGTGCCACAAGATCGGCCGTTCGACCCCCACCACAACGATCGGAAGTTCAACAGCAAGACTACGACTGTCATCACCCAGCTGCTCATGGCTGTCCATGAGATCACAGTCCGAGAATGCCAAAAGACTAACTTGCCAATGGAGCCGAAGGAACTCCAGTGGAATGGCTTTCGGTCGAAGGGCTCGAAAACTGTGGTTGTCTGGGAAATGTTGTTGGACAAGGGCATGAAGCAGATTCCAGACGACTCTGAGCCTGGGGACTGGCACCTGTGGCTTCAGAGGGAAACTGGGGTGGCGATCATTGAGCGGATTCTCCAGTGCATGTTCAATGTCACTCCGCCAGTTCATGGCCGTGATCGAGTCAAGGGAAAGGAGCTGACATACTGGCACTGGTGGCAGGCCTCCAAGAAACTCGTTGCGGAGTATACGATGGAAGATGTCATCACGCATGCCAAATTCCAGCCCAAGGACCTGCAGAGCTGGATTGTGCCTTTGTCGGGGAAGATTTGGGATGCTTACAATTACACCATGCTTGTGTATTGTCAGAAGAAGCTGGAACAGAAGGCAAGGGGGGAAGACCTCGACGCGGTGAGCCAGATGGGTGATGATGGCCTGCCATCGGAAGATGATGAAGAGGATGAATTTGTGGATGTTTACCAGACCACCGCGAACTTCGTTCCTGATTGGGGAGTAACTGCAGATGGCTTTCAGGATTGATCAGTGTCAATGATTGAGCTGAACGAGTAAGTTTATTAATTGTGTTGCCAAAACAAAGCCATCTAGTGGACCTCCTCTTCTTCATCCCATTCTTGCTTGGGCACTGGGGACTTTCACAAGGCAGAGTGCCAGAGAGTTCTCAGTGTGACTAAGGCAGAGTGCCACTAAACAGTGTGGCCTGTTCAGATTCTTTTTTGTGTCGCTGTCACTAGGCAGAGTGCCGGAAAGGCAGAGTGCCAATGTGAAATCGCATTTCTTGGGGCGTTTGAAATTTGTCACTTTTGCAGTCCGTCTGATCTGGCACATTTGAGCTTGCCGTTTTAGAAAACAAAGACGGTGCCTATGCATACAGTCATGTCGGCAGCAACTCGATGGATTACTGTGCCTGTGAATTGATTCAACCTTGGTTTCCTGTGACAGCCCCATAAAACCTCTCAGGTGCTGGTGTCCAAGGTGGTTGGCTACTATGGCAAGGCTGGGGTGCAGGATGCAAGTGATTGTGAGTTGTTTAAGCTGAAACGCTTGCTATCTGGCCGTTCATGGGACCACGCCACGTAGTGTGCACGGACTCTAGTGACTAGTGGGTGGATGCTCAAGAATTTCTTGACCTGGCCGCCATCAACATATGTGTGTTCAAGATCGAGTCCCTTAGTGCTGCAGTGGTGCTTCCAGGCAGAGTGCCAGAGGCAGTCGCCGAGAGCAATGGGAAAGTCGAGGAAGAGCGCTCGTGTGAGTGATCAGATGATGTTCCCAATGCCGGGGGCAATGAACCCAGCAATGGGAATGAACAACCCACTGGCCATGATGAACCCTTTCATGTTGCAACAGCAGCAACAGATGCAGCAAATGCAGCAAATGCAGCAGATGCAGCAAATGCAGCAACAGCAGCAGTGGCTGCTGGGGGTGAATCAAGGCAGAGTGCCAACGACTCCTCCTCGTCGGAATCAGAAGACCAAGAAGTGAAGAGGATTCGTAAGGAAACCAAGAAGAACAGAGCAAGGCAAGCAGCAACGATCGGGATTGACCGGCTGGCAGTGTCTACTACCGATGCAGACGCAATCCCGAGAAGCGCCACGACATTGCGTTCGGTCCCCCTGGCTGCCTGGCAATCAACAGAGTATCCTTAAGGTCAGCAATGATCCCTGAACCCTCCTCCCAAAAAACCAAGCTGAGCCTTACTGACTGAGGTGAAGGTGAAAGCTCTGCTCGAGCGGGTTCATAGTGCATGGGATGCCGCGGTCACGGCTGACCTGCCACAACAAACAGCGCTGCAGCTGCTCTTCATATTGACCAATCTGAAGCCGACCACAAAGGTCAGTGAACTCAGGGTCGATAGCAAATACAGCTTGCTTGGTCAGCGATGTGCGGATGCCCATACGCGTCAATTCCTCTGCGGTAGCAGCAGTTGGAACCGCATAGCCAAACCGGTTCTGGGAATGGGGGTGAATATGTCTGAGCATGCTGTTGACAGGGTTGCCTTGGAATGTGGATGGCAGTCCACATGGATGACCGAGGATGTCACGACCTATGCCAGGCGTAGAGCGAGAGCAAGGCAGTCCACTGAGACGCAGGGACGTCTCAGTTTCAATCCGAGTCCTGCTCCAGCTGCCCCGCCAACGGTTCCGCCGTCGGAAGGCAGAGTGCCAGACGTGGTCCGTTCTGGTCCTTTGCCAACGACTGCTCCTAGTTCCAATCCAAGCCAGGCTGTGGGTCGCAGCCCGGCTGGGGAACAAGGCAGAGTGCCGATTCAACAGCCGCCTGCCTCCCCTCATGCCGTTCCGGGTTCCAATGCAAGCCAGGCAACCGAAGGCAGCCGGGCTGCAGGAAGTGAACAAGACAGAGTGCCGAGGGTTGTGGAAGGCAGAGTGCCAGTTGATCGGAATGCTCCTGCCATGGATGACGATGGTCTAGAGCCGGCAGAGGCAGAGATCAGGCCCGATCAGGAGATCGTCATGCCTCCTGCAGAAGTGACCACTGCACCTGAAACAGTTGAGTTGCCAGGGCCAGACACCTCCACGAACAGTGACTCGACAGCTGGTGCTGACGTGAATGCCGTTGTGCCCTTTGCGACACCCAAGTCGAAAGCCAAAGCAAAAGCCAAGGGCAAGTCGAAAGCCAAGGCCAAGTCCAAGGCCAGGGCGACGGCACCAAACACAGAGTCGCAGGACGAGGTCGCAGTCGAGGTCGATGATGAGGTCATGGCCGAGGCCGGGGCCGAGGTCGAGGCCGGGGCCGAGGTCGAGGCCGAGGTCGAGGGCGAGGCCGACGACAGTGCCTTCTTTGAGGAGGAGGAGGAGGATGCTCCGAATGAGTCGAGCAGACCTGCGAACCGGTGGAACCAGGACCTCTGTGTCATTTGCCATTCGGAGATGCACCCGGGCCAGGCAGGCTGGTTTCGTTTGCCTTTGGTTAATGAACCATTGATAGTGGTGCCTGTCCTGTTTGTACATTCCACTAATCCTCAGAACAGTACCTCTCACATGACGTGTCTTTTTCTGTTGCTTCCCTGGAATGCAGGCATTGGAAGCGCTATCGTGTGGCCACCTCTTTCACAGCGAATGTATCAATCGATACTGTGAGTCGACCGGGCGGAACAAGGCCACCGCTTGCCCTCTCAAGTGTGCGAGCTCAGCCTCTACGGCAAGGTTCTTTTTTGGTCCGAGGGGGTCCACGGGAAGCAATGCCCCTGTTCCTGTCGAAGATGATGCTAATGATGTGGACGCAATCGTTCAGGAAATACAAGCTCAACTCGTTGACGACCGCACTCGTGAAGAGGAAGCTCCTGAGGTCAACGACCCCGTGGTGGACTGATTGCGCCGACAAGGTGGCTCGGTAACAAGGCAGAGTGCCACAATTACTGGCTCATGTGTATGTGTTATCGGTGATGTGGCCTCGAGTCTTATTAATTTTGGAGGTGTGGCAATGCCATTGTCACAGACACGTTTCTGAAGGCAGAGTGCCATGGGTTGTAACATGTGTTCCATGATTATTATGTCTTGACATGATTGTGTTGCCTTGTGTTGCATTATGCCATCAGGAATGTATGTCTCTTTCATAATCCCAGGCGGTCTGTCGATTTCACAAGGATACTGCAGATGCCTGTGGACAAATCCGCACCAAAGGCAGGATCTAACCTGTCCTAGAACACCAGTTGGGAGGGACCCAACAAAGGACCACGGAAGTCTGCAATGGGGTGCATCCGTGTTAAAAAAGCATATGGCCTTTGAAGGGACACCATCCCCATACCGCCCCACAGGCCCTGCAAAATCTTAGAAGACATTTGTGGCACTTGTGGCATGCCCCGGAAAAATCTTATTGAATCTTATTGAATCTTATTGAATCTTATTGAATCATCATTTTTAAAAGGGACACGACTCCACACAGCCCCAAAAAATCTTATTGAATCTTATTGAATCTTAGAAGACATTTGTACAATTGTGGCCTACCCCGAAAAAATCTTATTGAATCTTATTGAATCTTATTGGTTTTAGAAGGGACACCGCCTCCAGCTCGCCCAAAAAAATCTTATTGAATCTTATTGGTTCATCATTTTTAAAAGGGACACGACTCCACACCGCCCCAAAAAATCTTATTGAATCTTATTGAATCTTAGAAAACATTTGTACAATTGTGGCACGCCCCGGAAAAATCTTATTGAATTGAATCTTAGTGTTCGGGCCATCATGATTTGAAGGCACACCGACCCTGTACCAGACAATTGCACACATGTAACATCCCCTCCCAAAAGTCTTGTTGGAGCTTATTGAATCTTGGGAGCTAGTTATACAATATCGAATCTCATTGAATCGTCACAGTCCAGCTAACCCAACCAAATCCCTACGAGTAGTAACACACCTTATGATTAAGCATAAGCTAGGTGGCACTCTGCCTTTGAGTACCTTTAAACCATGGACCTCCCTAAAACCTAAAACCCTGAAGCTCGTTTAAACCCTAAACCGTTACTGTGTGTGGTAAGTTTATACATAGACCTAGGTATATGCATAACATATATATATATATATATAGATATATATGTATATATATATATATATATATGTATGTAACGTATGCATGTATGTATGTATGTATGTATGCATGTATGTATAAGCATCTCGGCTCCGCGATGAGGGGCCTCGTGGCTGTAGGAACATGGATATGGAGCTGGTGGCTCTGCATGGATCTAACAAGATTCCTCGGGTGTCGGCTGCTCTCCTATATTTTGACCCACTGGGTAACTTTGTGGAGTACTATGTCCTGGGCTTCCTCATACACCTTTGGAGTTTTGTTCCGGAACGAGAGCTCTTTCGCCGCCAAGGCATCTTGCGAGATAGGTGGGAATATGCAGGAGCTTTCAGAGTCTGGTTTGATGGCTGGCTGCTTCTGGGCAATCGGGGACGCCTGGCTCTGCTGCGTAAAACCATGGAACACTATCATGAGTTTGGTTGCTGTATGCTCCGAGCTGTTTGCGCCTGCGTGGCGCCGTGGCTGGAGCTTATGGACTGAAGTCCGCTTTCAGGACTTCGGGGGTAGAGCCCTACGAGGTGCTGTCCGGCACTGCCGGGCGATGGCGGTCTTCCGAGATCCAGGACAGGCAGTGGAGGCGCTCTACATGTACTTTCTACCAGTGTGCCTGCTTCTCTTTGGCTGCAGTGTACTTGTATATGGAGGGGGCGTCTGTGCAGTGACTACCTGGCAGGTGCGACCTTTCCACATGCCCGTGCTTCATGCCCTCCCGTGCCCCAGCCATGTGGAACATGATCAAGTCTGGGCTAGAGACACGATGTGGAGTGCATATGCTCATTGTGCAAGAGCCCTGTGCCAACAGCGAAGTTCCTGCTTTAGGGCTCAGAAGCCAAACAGCGAAAGTCATAGGCGACGTCGCGGCATGGCGGCTCATGCGGATGTGGATTCCGAGGACCTGGATGCGGATGAGTCGAGCCAGGGTGGACCGGCACCGACCACCCCAGGCGGCACACCTTTACCTCCAGGTCCGCCACCACCTCAGCCAGTGCAGGCAAGGAAACACCTCAGCCAGCGTCTCAGCTCTCTGATTGCGGACTTCCTCTCGCACGAAGGGGTTGAGGTGGACAGAGTGCTGACCTACATCCCACCCAACTACAAGGACCTACGCAGCTGGCGAGTGGCAATGGACTATATGGGCCAACAGGAAGCAGCGAACCACCCGAACACCCTCTATGTTGATGACTCCGCCCCTGAGGATGCAGGAGATGCGGATGATGGCTTTGAGGGCCACTCGGAGTCCATCGAGGAGGAGCCACTGGATGGAGGGACGAGAAGGGCTGGCACCACTACATCTACGGCATCGGGCTCCAGACCCTCCGCGACAGTGACCCACGCGATCAACTCGGCACCGTGGCATGGCACAGGCGGCGACACCGCAGCTCCCAGGCCCAAGACCAATCGGAAGTCTGTGCCCCAGTTGCTAGTGACCGCTCTCCCAGGGTTGGGAGCTCGGGCACCCAATCGGCTGTGCTACTTAGGCGACGACGTCACAACTGACCGGACTAGGAGTAGCCAAGGGTGTGCCTGGATAGGGGGCGGACTTGAGCCAAAGGCGGACGGCAGTCTGCTAGCCCTCCCTTTTGTGGCTGTCACTGTGATCGCTCTGCTGTGGCTTCAAAAAGAACGTGGACCCATCGAGAACACCTCTGTGATCATGCCTGCACTGCATTCCCCGATACAATCCTGCCTCTCTGCGTGCTCCTTGTCCTCTTTGGCATTGCTGGCCAGGTACAGAATGTGCTGGTGCTTGACTTTATGGTGGGTGGCCTCAGTTCGACGAGCTGTAAGGCACCTTCGCCGTAATATGCGTGGCACTGCTGTGACCAGGCTTTCTCTGGAACGTCTTGACTCAGACCCGACGAGCCCAGACCTCGGACATCGGCAAAGCCGCACCAATGCATTGCCATCGCAGCCACACAGGCCACTACAACCACGAGACCATTCGGATGCACTTCGCAACCGGAGCTGCCTGGGTCCCAAGTCCCAGGGCTGCAGTAGTATGCTTAGAGCTCTCTTCTGGTGGCTCTTTGTGTTCCACTTTATCTTCTCTCGAATACCATTGACTACTGCAGCAGATGCGAGGGTTGAACCCACTGAGCACCACAGGGGTTCTGAAGCCTCACAACATGTCATATATGATCACGGCAGGGCGAAGCAAATGAGTGCATCACGCCAACTGCCCGGGCACAACACGTGTGGCCCCCCAGTTTTCAGAAAACGAGCTTTGCTCAGAGCTATCACCAGAGTGAATGCCAATGCCTCGCAATCCACATGGTACAGAGGCCGGTACATACATGTGGACCGCCTACGAGGCGGAGGAGCCCTCCGACCCACTCCCAAGGCAACTAGAGCTTCTGAGACTTCCAGCCCCGGGTCCTCGAAGGATAGACTCCGGATCGTCAGCTGGAACAGTGGAGGCCTCACCTCCACCAGATACAAAGAGGTCCTTGCATGGTTGCAGCAGTCCCACGAGGCTGGCTGTACCTACGACGTCTGCATTTTGCAGGAGACGATGTGGCCACAGGACTCAGAATTTATAGCTAAGCTTGATGGCCCAAACCACCTTCAATGGCATGCTGTCCACAGTGCAGGCAAAAGTCATGAGGGAATTCTTTGCTTGGTTCGAACAGGAGTGGTCCCGGCCGAGAACATAAGGTACAATGTACTTGAACCAGGACGACTCGTACATGTCCGCCTGCTCCTCTGTGCACCGTGTGACATCCTGTGCACATACCAATGGTCCTGGAATCCGGGGAAAGTGGAGCTCCAAGGCACGAACCGGGTCGAGGAGATGCTACGCCAGCGAAGACGGATCTGGCAGGCGATGGACAAATGGCTGAGCTCCATTCCCAGGCGCAGTACCTGCATTGTCGTTGGCGATTTCAATTGCTCCCTTGTCCCAGAAAGACCGGTATGTGGGGAAGGAGTACCTACATCCGGAGGTGGGCACCCAGATCAGGAATCGTTTCAAGAAATAGCTCGGACCCATGGATGCTGTGCCCTCAACACATGGAGAACCAAAGGCCCTCATGCTCGTACCTACCTCCCGCCGAACGCCACTGCCCAGCACGGCTCTCAGATTGACTTCGTCTTGTTTCGTGGCCAAGGGGCAGACCAAACAGCGAGGAACGCTGGACCATTGCAAGCGGAGTTTGTCCCTCACACGGGCTGCAGGCACCTACCCATCCAGGCAGTGATCCCGGCACCACGCCGACCTACTACCAGGCCAGCGCAGCAGAGGGTGGCTCCCAGGTTGGCCCAAAGTGCACTTCGACAGGCTGACTTTCAGTACCACCTTCAAGGGGAACTGGATGGAGTCTTGCACTCAACCCTCCCGGAGAATCTAGCTGATGGAGATGTGAATCAATGGCTTCTGGCAGGATGGAATGCCACCACACGAGCGCTTCGTCGCGAAGGCCCCGCAACACCAACCCAGACTCCTGGAGATACGCTCACACTGCAGGTGAAGAAACTATGGAGCTTGAGGACCAGGGCGTTTGAGGTTGGAAGACAGTTGGGACAGTGGCAGAGGAATGGACCCAGTGCCCGCCAGGTCTTCCAGGCCTGGTTGGTGACGACCCAGCTCCAGGCACACAACCGCACCCTGCGAAAGGAGTGTCGCCGAAAGAAAATTGAGAAGGTCGCGGAGGTTGTGCGGGCTGACAACATATACCAGGCGGCCAAACGGTTCGCCCCTCGGACCCCGAAGAGACGAATCCAACTTCGGAAAGAGGACGGCAGCCTGCAAACACATGAGGCCGAATTTCGACAAATTGTGTGCCACTTCGAGGACCTCTACTCGGGTGAAACGGGGCCTGCCCCGGCCCTACCAGAGGCTCTCAACATCACGTTGGAGGAGATCCAGTTTGCCTTGTCCAGGTTGCAACCGGGGAAGGCAATGCCGTCGGACAGTGCCCCCGCGGTGCTGTGGAAATGGTATGGCCACACTCTGGCCCCGGTGCTCCACCAGCAGTTCCAGAAACACTTGGGGAAGGGGGCATGCTCGCTGCCGGAGGCCTGGACCCTCAGCGAGTTGGTCTTGATCCCCAAGGCGGGGAAACCAATGAAAACCCCAGCACATCTGCGGCCAATTTCACTTCTGCCACCACAAGCAAAACTGCTGGCGACTGTTCTAGCACAGCGAATCCAGGAGCCTATGAAGCTTTACCTCACGAAGCTCCCGCAATACGCCTACGTGGAGGGTCGTACCATTCACCAGGCGGTAGAACGTGTGATCAGCCACTGTGCTGAGGTCCGCTGCTTGGTTCAGGGCAACACCCACACGATCCACAACAAGCGGCAAGGACGTGAGAGCCTCAGCCTGTACGGTGGCATCCACCTGTCCTTGGATCTCACGGGCGCCTATGACCATGTACAATGGCCCCTCTTGCGGCAGGCCCTAGAAGCTGCAAACATCCCGGAGGTCCACATTCAGACGATTCTCTTGATCCACTCCACGGCCCGACTCCAAGTACGCCATTGTGGGATGGAACAGAATGTGCAATTGAAGCGCGGCCTGAGACAGGGATGTTCCCTGTCACCCTCACTGTGGGCAGTGTTCTCGGGATGGCTACTCCAGCGTATGCATGATCCTCAATTGCTCGATGTGCATCGCACTAACACGAGTTATGCTGATGATCAGCACTTCGGATGGACGATTCGAAACGGCAAGGACTTGGAGGGGGCGTATGCGGCCATGCGCCACATCCTGGCCTGCCTTCTCCAGGCGGGCCTTAAAGTGAGTCAGGAGAAGACGGTGATAGTACTGGAACTTCAGGGAGCATATGCCACCAAGGCCCTGGCCAGATACACGGTCGACCGGCCACAAGGCAAGTACTTTCGCTTTGACATCGCGGGAAACAACATGTACATCAAGATCGTTCCCAAGCATGTGTACCTCGGGGTTGTCATTAGCTTCCGAAAGTTTGAGGTGGAATCGTTCAAGCACAGACTCACCTTGGCACGCAGTACGTTCTCCAGGCTCGGGGTGATTCTGAGGAACAAAAACGTGCCATCACGACTCCGACTGATACTCTGGAGAGGATGTGTGTGGCCGGCCCTCTTCTATGGACTGGACAGCACGGGACTCCCACAAAAGGAGCTCACCACGTTGCTGACACAACTCATCAAGCAAGCTAGGGCTATCACGAACTCCCACAGCATGTTCACAAAGGAGCGAAACGAGGACTTTGTTCGTCGACTTGGCCTGCCTGACCCGGTGAAGCGCTTACAGAATGCCCTTAGACAGCGGGAAGCATTAGACTGTAGCCTGTCTCCGGAACTGGCTCCAGGCCCGGCTCAGCTACAATGGCGCCACATTGTGAGAGGGCACCTCTTCGAGGGAGTTGGCTGTTGGAGTCACCCCACGGGGACCCCACATGATAGGGAGTGTTCGGCACGACTTGTTGAGGTTGAGCAAGTGATCCACGAAACTTTTCAGTGTGAGCATTGTGGACAGTCCTTCAGTACCCAAGCAGCCCTCCGTCGACATGTATATAAACAACATCTCAGTGAGGAGGAACAACAGCAAAGGGACACCCAAGTGAAAGAGTCAATCAAGGGTGCGGAGATGGCTCATGCATTGGATGGAATGCCGAAGTGCAAGCACTGTCTCCATGCCTTTTGTACATGGCATGCCTTCTTTTATCACGTGAATTCTAGAAGCTGCCCGGGCTTACGTTCACTACATGACAAACCGGAGGTTGGCAAGGAAGCTCTAGAGACTCTCACGGATGCCCTGATTGCTGCGCCAGAGGTTTTGGAAAAGGCCAAGGACTGTACATGGCAAGACTTGGCTGCCCTACATGTAGTACGACACAAACTCAACTACTGTGTGGAGTGCAACCATTGGAGCACCAGTCCCCAATATGTGCGACGTCATATGGCAGCCATGCATCCTGAATGCACCAAATTAGTCCAGACCTGCATTGAGGACATCAAGGCGAGCAAACTCAGCCTTCAGAACCCGTGCCAGTATTGCGGCCAGACCTTTAAGCGGAAGGATGCCCATCTCAGAGCTTGTATCGGTGTGTTCAACGGAGTGTACCTCCATCGCCGCCTTGCTAGAGGGAGAGCCCTTACGCTATCAGGTGCCCTGACGACCACTCGTGCCTCCCTTGCGGGCCATGTTCGACAGCCTGCTGGACAGGGCCGAGTTAGGGACCCCTCAGGAACTGAGGGAGGCGACGCAGGACCTCAGCCTGCTCCGCTCAATGATACATCAAACACAACCGGGCATGGCGAGCAACATGGACTGGAGCCGAGACCTTCACCGAGCACGGGAATCGGAGCTGTGGGAGGACTCGGAGAGGCCCCCAAAGTGGTCCCGACCGGACCAAAAAGGCCAAAAGGGAAACCGCGGCGGCAAAGGTCAGAACCCGCGCCGACAGGCCCCACACTTCGGCAACTCTGGGCGAGATCATCAACCGGGACCACCGACCAGGAAGCCTCAGCAGCAGACGGACGAGCGAGCCGCCCCGACCCGCCAAGAGATGCAGGAGTTCCGCAACATCCTGGGCATCATGAAGACGCTCGTCCTCCGCCAGGAGACCCAACAGACGATCATGAGGCAGGACACAGGGTTCATGGTGTTTGTGCAAACGAATGCCCCAGGCAATCTGGCACAGTCGCTGTACCGCATAGGGCAACAATGGAACACCATGAAGCGGGAGGATCCTACAGCCCTGCAATCGCCCATGCGAGTTGTCCTCTACCAGCACCTCCTCGAGACCATCAAGGACAAGTTCTTGGCCATGATGAACTCACCCTCATCCAGGTCCAAGGCGGCAGAGATGGGCTGGATCTCCCAGGATGGCAAGGAGGTGTATGCGGTCAAGTGGGACATGGACCAACAGAAGCACGTCAAGGATGCTACAGTGGGCGGCCTCAGTCCCCAAGAGATCGAGGAGGCCCTGACCGAACTGATCATCCTGGCTCCGGAGGTGCTCGTGGTTCAGAGGTTCCATGCTACGAGACAGCTGGCCGAGGAGTACCAGTCACCGGTGATCGGGATGTTCCTGGAGGTGGGACTTCGAACAACGGCGGCCCAGACTACATGGAGACGCCTACATATGCTTGCCAGATCCGCGACCTGGGCGGCAGGGGGCTGCTTCCTTCGACACGAGCGCATGCAGATGAGTGCACTCGCGAAGAGGCTCGCGAACTTGATGGAGTGAGGGCCTGGGCAGCGCGCCTAGGGAACCGGCATAACTCCTGTTATGCCAATGCCTTGCTCTTGAGTTTGATCCATCTTGATTGCTGCCTGCCGGGTCGATCCTTTTTCCGAGGGACTCTTGAGAAGCTTGTGCGTGATGTGTGCAGAGGGGAGTTGTTTTACCTGTGGGACGACCCTCGATGGATCAACCTCACTGAGCGGTGGGGACAACCACATCAACAACATGATGTGACGGAGTTTCTGCTACATGTAGCACAGTGGCCACAGATCGAGATGTGTCAACTCATGCTTCATTGGCAGGCTCGTGATCCGAGGGATGGTGAGTACCATGGACAGATCCTCGACCTGGGCCTATCGGCCCCGCTAGGCCTCGTGCCACCCTGCGACAGGGAGGCTGATGGCACATCGAGCTTCCGGGTTCAAGACCTGATCGACTGCTGGCACCGCCAGGATAGTGTACATGCTGCGGTGTATGAGCCTTCGGCAGTCATTTTGCAGGTGGGACGTTTTCACTTCGACACCACGAGCTCCAGGGCTACCAAGCGTAGGTACTGGGTGAATCTTGATCGTTCTATCCGTTTTCCGGTGTTTGAGAATGGAGTCCGGTGCCGATGGATTCAATTTCGACTCATTTCAGCAGTGATACATCTGGGCGAAGCTCCAACCCACGGTCACTATCAATCTTTATTGTACAACTATACTGATGCTACTTTTCGGCTTACGGATGATGGTGTCTCCTCTGTTCCTGTTCTGAGTGGTGTTGCGGATTCTTATGGTTCGGATAGCTATCTTCTGATTTATCAACACGAGTGACCGGCCCTGCTGAAGGGTATGCGTACCGAGGGCAGGGTTGCTGCCTGCAGGTTTTCTGAGGGGAGGATGTGAGCTCACAGCTGAAAGCCGGGCCGCTCAGGCCTGTCCTCCGATTGCGGTAGCAAAGACTGGACTCTTTGCAACGCGGAAAGTGCGAAAGTGCATGTATGTATGTATGCATTATATGCATACACTTATTATGAGGCATACTGCTTTCGAACATTAAACTACATCATCTATTAATAGCACTCTGTCTTCAAATATGTGTTCATCTAATGATCATGTGCATAAATGCTTGTGTCGTCCAGTGGAACCTATTGCATGTGGTATTGAAACGGACATGACAATCAACTTCTAGTACCTGTTCGTACTATCCAACACATATAGTTGCTTGCAGCTTGTTGGATCAAAGATATTTAAAGTTAAGCACCATGGCACCGAAACCGAAGGCCAAACCGGCAGCAGCGGGGAGGATCGGCCGGGTGAGGACTCCGAAGCGACGGCCTCGTAGAGTGCCGCCAACCGGTGTGAATGGCATTGGTGAAGAAGGCGGTGGGGCGGAAGGCAGAGTGCCAGGGCCACCCAGGGGTCCGCCGCCGCCAACACCTGTGAATCAGCCACCTTTCCCAAGACCTCCCGCCCCTGCGCGACATGAGTTTGAGATTGCCCAAGCTGTGGCAGAAGCGTTGGACATTATGGAGACCCCGATCATGATCAACTTCGAGCCGGATGTGGTTACTGTTAGGGAGGGCCGCATTGTTCTGGTCACCCTTGAGAACTTGACCCCTGAAGAGATGCAACGTCGGCAGTTGGCACGGCGAATTTGTGCCATGTGTTTCAATGCTCCAGACAACCCGCCGCCACCAATAGTGCCGCCAAGGCCGATGCTTGAAAATGGCTATCCTCGCCCTAACAATAACGCCAACAGTGGAGCTGCTGAAGGCAGAGTGCCAGAAGGCAGAGTGCCGGAAGGCAGAGTGCCAGATGAGTTCGAAGGTGGAGTTCGTGATCAAATTTTTTTTCGTTTGGAATCTCGCCCGGATGCCTGGTTGACTGGGCCAGCTCGTGCCGAAGGTGAGATTCACGCCTCAGACTCAGATGTGATTGAGGAAGGTGTTCGAGATGTTCGTCTTGGTGAGCTTGGAGGGCGGGGTCGTTTGGGGATTGATTATGGGCACATCTCAGAAGAAGACCCGGGCTGGAGTCAGCGCGGCTCAGCGGATGATGGAGCCCCCTCAGATGTGATGGAGGAAGGTGAGGAGTCCGACTCTGAGGCTTCTTCCACTAATGCTGTTTGTCAGATGGAAGACTGATTATTTAGCTCACCAGCAAAGACTGCATAGAAGGCAGAGTGCCAATGCAGAATCTGCCTGACAAGTGGCTGCCACCTCGGTGGTCTCGCAATCGTCGAGTGATATGGATGGACTGCTGTGTGCGGTACCAGAAAAACGAGAATCGAGTGAGGGTCTGCCAGTGCTGTATTTGATTGCTTGAGCATGAAGTCATGGTCTGCAACAACTATGCCATGTGTGAATTTCAACAAGTGATGTCATCATGTCTGTCTCATCCTTGTGTTGTGATGGATCAATCGACTCACAAGTGTGTCAACTGCTGCATGCGCTGGTTCACAATTATGTGGTTAACTCGAACACTCTTGAGGTTAAGGTGTTTTGCACTTTCCTGGGTAAGACAGAGTGCCATGGACAATGCAATTTCGAGTGCCATGTCTGCAGCAGCAGATGACCCGACTGAAACAAAAAGAAGACTGTTAGCAGACATTCGGCGGCAGTTTGATGCAAACATCGCACTGGAGAAGAGATTCTTGGCCATTTCGAGAGGACAGGATGTTCTGCGCCTTTGCGAAGCTGACCCGTCGCTTCTGGAGTTCCATAATGAAGGTCCTTATGAAGTTCTGCCTGAGTGCAACTATGATGTGATTCTTGAAGCCAGTGGGTCTTCCTGGATGATATCAATCTGGCAACAGATGTTATCAGAAACTTTTCCCATCATGACTCTGTGGCCATGGAAGAAACAGATGAGATTCCTCATCAACTTTTGTCATTGGAAGCGGAACATAAGGCAGAGTGCCAGGTTCCACTTCCTGGAGATCTTTGCAGGGCAGGGCAACCTCAGTCGGGAGATGCTCCGTGCTGGCTGGCAGGGGCTAGCCTTGGACATCAGGTACGGCACAGATCATGATATTCTTTCTGTGAGAGGACGTCGCCTGGCTGTCAATGCTGTGTGTCAAACACACAAACACGGCCTGTTGTGGTTTGGAACTCCATGCTCTTCCTTCGTCCAACTCTGTAAATACAGTACTGGAAGGTCCATTGCCAATGACTGGATGGGAGAACCTGAGCGATCGCTGGCATGCCAAGAAGGCAAGCGTTTCATGTATGTGACGCTGCTGTTGACTTTGCTCGCGGCTTTGAATGACAACCGGTTTGTGATCGAGCAGCCTTGCTCCAGCATGCTGTTCGACATTCCACTCGTCGATCGTGTCATGGGAATGATCCAGGCTATGAAGGTCAAAACCTATGGTGGTGCCTTCGGCCAGACCATCCTGAAACCGCTTCAACTGTGGAGCAACTGTCAGCACATCAATGGTATGCGGCGCAGCTATCCTTCCCATGTCAGAGGAAGTGCTGGTTGCGTTGATCGAGATGGTGAGAAGTTCACCGGTCGTCCTGAAGATCTTCAGGTGTCAGAGGAGTACACCCGGGAGTTCGGCAAGGCTGTGGCCTTTCATATGATGAGTGATGTCCCAACATGAATTGTAGCTGAAGGCAGAGTGCCAATAAGGCAGAGTGCCATAATTCTCTAGAGTTAAATGAGCTTGCTTCATTTTTCGACATTCTGTCTTGTTGGTATTCTGCTTTCCAATGTTGGGACTGGGTTGAGCCCTGGACCCCGTCCGTTCCCTCCACGAGGTGCCGAGGAAAATCATCGCCGCCTCGTGGAAGGATCTGAGTGATCCGAGCTGGTGCAGCTGTGCAATGAAAATGTAGAGAGCTTCAGTCACTCCGTGATCAGATGTGTTTGTCGGTATTGTCTCAGTTCGTATGCTGCTGTCGTGCAGGTGGCAATGACCTGGCTGGTGTCTCGAACTCCAGTTGCAGGCATCGGTGGCCTGTGTTAATCATTCCATGTGGTTGTCAGTTCAGTGCCATCTGCGATAGTTTCCTGTCTCAAGTTCGAGTGACATGATGTGGCTGCTGACATGTCATCGTGAGTCTTTGGGTTGATTTCTTAAGAATTCAATGTGTTGTGAACTGGGGCTTGTGACACAAGTGCAGGTGTGTGTCAGTATTTAGTAAGATTCAAGTACAGTGTTGCTTTGGAGGATTTCGGTGATGCTTCTGAAACTGTGGGTCATGCTATTGCTCCTTGATGGGCAATTGCTTAACTTGGAAAATGATGCAAAACTGCCAGCGAGAGCAGCTTGGCTCTCACAGGGCGAACTGTGGTGGCGTCTGGACTTGTTTTTCGATGAGAGCAACAGGAACGGCTCAGAACGTCGACAGTACCACAAAGGGTACAACTTCTTCAGTGATCTTCTCAGGAAGACCCCCTTGGCTGCGAACTGGGGGTCACATGTGCAAAGTCAAAAAGGCAGAGTGCCAAACCCTGATGCTGTGCAGGAGGATGTGGCATCTTCCACAGCCTTGGCCCTATTCATGTTGCAAGCATCCTTCGACACAAGGACAGACGCCCACAGGGAATGGTACAAGAGCAAACTGAAGGATGCTATGGTACGTGTGTGTGAAACTATCATTGATGAGCCTCTGGTCATGCAGTTGGATGAAGGCAGAGAGTCATGGTTTCTTCAACCAACTGGGTTGGTTTCAGGCTTTGCCGCTTGGATGATGAGTTGGCTGCCAGGCAACACGTCCCGATCTTTGCGTGAGCTTTGGGAATCTATGTTCAATGCAAGGACGCTGTCTTCATCTCTCCGAGATGAATCTGAAGGCAGAGTGCCACGAGATTGGGAGGAGGTTGAAACTAGCATCTACGACATCATCGCCTTTGCAACCATGGCAAAAAAACACAGAGCGCTTCAACCGTCGGGGCAGGCTCATTGATTTGCCAAGACAGTCGTGAATGCCTTCATGCACATACATGAGTGTCTGTCCGAGACATTGTCAGCCGGCCTCCAGGTGTATGTCATTGGGCACTACGTGAGTGTAC